ATCTCGCAATTGTGAATTTATTTCTTACAGAAGAATACGGAACAAAAGATCTGATGCTTTGAATGTTGTGATATGACTTCATATCTCATAAACCCTTAGTATTTTGAAAACTTCATGTCTCATTAGTAGTAATTACTAGTAATATAATAATAGTAATATAAAAACTCTTCCAGATATTATTATTTTATTTCTATATTTTTATGTAAGTCTGTTCCTGTCCTTGACTACAAAACAAACAGGTTGTGAAAGTTTATAATGCGGAATAAAATCATTTTCCGAGTTGTAATAGAGATGTAAGGCTAAAAGAGAGACTCACAAATGCTCCAGCTCCATCAGACCCTCGAACGCTCTCTTAGTGATGGTCCTGATTTTATTATTCTGTAAAACTCTGGAAAACACACACACATGCGCATGTCAAGCCACACTTTACATCTCTGAGTCAGATCAAACAGCTCGTATCCATCAACAAACGTACAGCGAGTTCAGCCTCTTCAAACCCCCAAACATGCCAACGAAGTCCTCGATGGCAAGAGATATCTCATTATTACGGATGTCCCTGGAACGAACAAACATCAAAAGAGAACCATCAGAATATTTTCAAACTGCCGCTGTGTAGAACTTGCTTTCTGTTATTAATCTAAAATGTGAAGAGCTTGTTTATTTGGGTGATTGTACATCTACAGAGACTTGAGTTTTAGGGCTCTAGGCAGCTCAGTGCCATTGTATGCTTTTCATGTATAATAGAAGGTATTGTATGGACAGGCTGGTATATGTGAGTTTTTTTAGCTTGTTTTCACGCACTGCTGACTGTAAAAGGCTGAAATCCCTTTTACAACTGTGCCAAAGGGACGTGGCGGAGGTTATGAGAAGTGGGCATGTCTGAATGTGCTCTTTTTCTGTTGGGGTAAGCTGAAATGAAACTAAACTAGAAGGATTCATATAGGGCTTAAACTAAAGGGATAGACTATATCTGTTTGCAATTATGGGCTCTTTTTATTTTACAGAGATAGAGCTCAGTGCTACTTCTATTTTCATCAAGATCATTTGGTAACACAAACACACCTGTTCTTTAACTGAGCGCAAATACAGGCATGTTAGAATATGATAAGAAAAAAAAATACAGAAAAATCAGTACCGTATGCCATCATTTACCAGCAAAACTGTTATAACTATTACTTGATATAACTCTATACTTCCACCTATTGCTGCAACTTAAGAAACATGTAATATTTATATATTATATATACAGTGGGTACGGAAAGTATTCAGACCCCCT